TGTATTCCAACATGGCAAAGTAATTACTCTCTGATTCAACATGGCCCCTCAGTGGTATATTCTGTTTAGCACACAATGCTATAGTCTCAAAAAGATTACGCAGAATTTTTCTACTGATTTGAATCTGTTCATCATGAGCCTTGCTAATTTGTTCACAAATGTTTTTTTTTCTTTACTTGAAATAATAGCCGTGAATCTCCTCGCAGCCTCTAAATTACCATAGTGCGGAGAACCGTCTTTTAGGTGTCTTGCAATTAGACATAGAGATTTTTCCAGTCACCAGTTGGCTCTACTGAGAATGACCTCTTTCGAAACAACATACAAGGTGCGTAATAAACGGCATCCTTAGAAAAGGAGTCTCCATTAAAGCGTCTTCGTTGATTACCAGAATTTCTTTGAAAAAATTACCTTTAGTAGATCAATACCGTTTCATATTAAAAACAGAATTAAATTAATGATTTTATAATATATAATGTTTTTGCATTTTGTTTTAACATGTAGTGCAGATTGGTTTTTTTTTCTTTTGTTTGTTTTGTTTTTTATTTATTTTGTTCAGAAGCAATTTTAAGTCATGTCCACATAGTGTAAGGCTGGACTCGTGATTGAAGTTCTCCTTAAAAACAAATAGGAAGCGGGGTCTGCATGAAATACGTGAACTAAGAACTCATTTTGATGTAACTTTTGTGCATACATTAATTCTGTAACTACCTAAATGGGAAATTGAAGTGTTTTATCGAGTCTGCCTCCCATTGTTCTTCAAGAAGATCATACTTGAGATTAATTGACCACTGATCGATGCATGGGCTTCCATCCGAAAATAAGCATACATATAGAGTACTGTGAGTGTGGGTGGGTGGGTGCCACGTCTAAACTGCACGAAGAGAGCCTTTAAATGGGGTTTACTTGTTAAATTGTTAAACTGGTGAGAAGGCGTGTCATATAGATAAATCTGTTTAACAGATTTTTTTTCTAAAATAGCTAACCAATGGAAATTGGTTTCCGGTATAAATATAAATAAACAAACACGTGTTCGATCGACACACGTATTACTATAACTGTAATAAATACATTTATGTTCTAATTCGTTCACTCAACCGAACATAAATAATTCATACCATAAATAAACACAGTGTGTAGGCACAGAAGCGCTATCAAGAGTGCAGTATCGAAAAATAAAGAAAGAGCTAGATACCCAGATTTTTAATAACTGAAAGTTTGCTTTCTAAATTTTCGTGGACGTAGCCCTCTTTAACTTTATCAGTTTTCCACCGGCCATGTTTTTTAAATAGCCTGTCATTGACTTTTGAAGCTGCAGCTGCAGTGGCTCCACCCGAACGCAAACTATGAACACCAAATTTTGTATAATCTAAGCCTAAAGTTTTTAAAGCAAACAAAACAATTTCTCTTACTCTAGTATAAGACAATGGTACATTATGTTTTCTTAATTTATAAATACCAGACTTCTTACAGAATGACAGTTGCCTAAAAATATAATCAGTCGAATTTTCCTCTATACCCGACATTCTCAAATACCTCTGCAGTAAATTGACTGGACAGTTAGGAGAATTCGTACTAGAAATGTAAACATAATTCCCTTTATCATGAACATCTGTTTTGCTTTTTTCAATAAACAACTTTAGGTGTGATTCTTTAAATGTTACATGAGATCTCTGGATGTTAACAATCTCTGAAAATCGTAAAATTCCTGCGTAACCCAACCAAAAAAAAATGTAACATGTAAATCAAAAAGTGATGTCTACTTCCAAATATTGAAACAACAGATGAGAGAATTTTGGGTGTTATAGGATCCTTCTTTGTCACGGAATGACCGGTGTCTCGTAAGCAACCCTCCTTTGCGTTTTTCACCAAAGTAGAATCACATGGATTTGAAAATCCTGCCAGGTTATGTGCCCGAGTGGTACGAGTAGCAAGCGTGGCTTCTTCTATTTTAGAAGCAGATTTATAATTTCAAGCAATGTATATCAAATAAAGAGCCACACTAGCATCTGTTGATGGTAAATTAGGGACAAGTGGGTTAAAGTTCTTGCACCATTTTGTGTGTGAATCTGTCAAATGCATACCTGTGTTTTTTCGTTGTGCTTTCGGCCCTGCTTTTTAGACAGTAGGAAGGTAGAAGTTCTGCCAGTTGTTGTAGCTGCGGATCATGAATGCTGGAAAAAAAGAGTCTTCCACCTCCCGAAAATATACCTGCAAATCGTATAACACGAAAATACATACATTAATTTTGAGACACCTGAATAACTTAATCCTATCTAGGATATAAATCTTATTTCATCTGCAGTACATACCCGTTGCACCAGGACCATATCAATAATATTCAAAATTCTTTAAAAAATCTTCTCGAATAAACTTTGCTTTAATTATCAAGCATCTGAATGTCAAAATAAAATCATCTGAAATACTTTTATACCAGGAAAACACAATTTCTATGTCATATCGCAAACGCTATACTTTTTCTACACAAAATTCTTTTTCATCTACAGTACCATTGTACCAGGACCTTATCAATACATATCAGGTGAACTAGGACATATCACTGCAATACACTCTCCTGAAAAAAAAAAACTTCAGTTTTACGGGTATAGCAATATTGAATTTTACTGAATTCCACAGCCATTCGATTTCTTGCACTGGTCTGAAAACAGATTTGCTAAAATTAATAAGCAGGCCTGCATCTTCCAAGGACTTTTGTATGAAATCTGAAATACTCTCACATTTTTCATAAGTCTCAGTCATAGCTAAACCATCATCTAAGTATAATACAATTCTAATATTACACGCTCTGCAGTATCGAACCATTCTAAGGCACTTTGTAAAGACAAAGGGTGCGCTTGAAAGGCCAAAACGTACGACAGTAAAACAATATAGCACTTATTCTTCCACTGGAAACCTAAATATGTTTGGCATTCTTTAATAATATCGATGTGATGGTAACCCGACTATAGATCAAACTTCATGCAAAAATAATTTTTCTCAAAATATTGCACAGCTGCTTTGTAATCTTTTCTTTCTTTACATATTTGTTCAAAATACTTAAATCTAGAATAAGACGCTTCTTTTCTCGGTTCTCCGCTACACTCAAGGGGCTGACTACAAAAGGCTTGAACGGCACCTGTAAGACACAACCTGATTTCAGCAATTCGTCAATGGTGTCTGAAACAAAGAATTAGCCTCAGCGGACTTATTGTTCTTCAAATACATCCTGGGTGGATTCTGTTCAAAAGTAATGTGATAACCATGCTCAATTATTCTTAGAATGTGATCATAAGTGCCTATTCTTTTCCAGAAATCTAAATGATTTGACAAACTTTTCTTTATTCCTTTATAAATTTCTGACTCGCCAGAATTAACATCATCAAAGAAAGGAATGTGCTCTTGCAATAAAATTTCATTATCATTGTATTGGTCAAACATATCAAAACTGACTAAATACTTATCATTCACTTCACTTCGAGGTGGAAGGCACTGCTGCACTGAAGTGAGATGGGCATCTGGATATTTCCAGTGTCCAGTCTGAAAACATCTATAGCAGACGTCACTGGGCTGCGGAGTGCGTCTCCTAGTCGAACGAAAGGGTTGGAGAAAAGGGTTTGTTGTGTGCATTGGATTATTCTGTTGTTGAAAACCAAAAGAAGCAAGCTGAGCAGAAGAACCAGCCGCGGCCGCTGGAGCTGGTTAAGAATAAGGCTAAAATCTTGATTTCTTTCCTTGTTTGCTCTGCCTAAGCGCCCTGTTTTCTGCACTTCTGGTCCATTCGAAATTTTCGGCAACGTTGTTGAGTTGGTATTCCTGGACAGTTTTCCATCCTGCTGGCGACCAATCTGTGATTCTTATGTACTTCTGTCTTGTACTGATTTTTCTTTCAAACGTTTGACTATTCCTTGGTCAGCCGAGGATAAATCTTTAAGTTTTTCAAGTTCTTCTAAGCATTCTTTATTAAATGTGTATTGTACTTTGTTACCTACAAACTTTAGCTTTCCAGCAATGTGCTCTTTCAATTTTTTTTTAATAACTGCGCAGAATTGTTATTTTCTTTTTGAAGTTTCTCGGCGAGCTGTTGAAACTGAGTACTGATAGTAGACGAAATTAACTGCACAGCGTCTGTCAAAGAAAATGTGTAGTTACTAGTACTTGTCTTTTTTGCAGTTTCTGCTGGAGTAAAACTGGGCTCTTGAAGTAATTCTTCTTCGCTATTTTCCGCCATTAGGTTAGGCACGTCTAAACTGCACAAAAAGAGAGCCTTTGAATGGGGTTTACTTGTTAAACTGGTGAGAAGGTGTGTCATATAGATAAATCTGTTTAACAGGTTCTTTTTCTAAAATAGCTAACCAATGAAAATTGGTTTCCGGTATAAATATAAATAAACAAACACGTGTTCGATCGACACACGTGTTACTATAACTGTAATAAATATAATGTACATATCTTTAATTAGGTCAGATGTGATGTTAAAATAGTATTAATCATGACTTTGAAATGAATGAAAAATATTGTTTTCTGGAGGTCAAAAAAAGTTCTGAGTCGGGTCGTTTTAGTCAGTCCGTTGGGAGAGGGGGAAAAAAAGAAGATGGTCTAGGCTTTTGATAATTCTTGCACATATGCATTGCTTGTGACAAGACATTCAAAATTAAACTCCATAAGTATATTGCTTCCAAAATATAAAACATTTTTCTTTGCATGACTGAGAGACAAACAAGACGGTTAGTTACAACACGTCATAAATCATTGCACCCCCAAGGTCAACCCCGAAAGCGGGGGGGGGGGGTGTCTCTGAATTTGCTTTTTGTTTCTTTTTGATTGCAAGATCTCTGCTTAAAGATTGCCCTGAATCATCAGTTTCGGTACGTCTGTTTCCAAACAAACTGTGCAGAAAAATCATCTCTCTGTTACAATGAAATCGACATCAACCTAGAACAACTTAATACGTCCAAACCGGATATGACTTAATTTTTGTCAACTTGCTGACTATTGAGTCTTGGACATTATGGAGGCAAGACACTGAAAAGTTAAGACAATGAAATGGCATGACTTAAAAAAATAGTTTGTTTGTTTAGCAGCCATGTCATCTCAGACAGCCTGTTTGACGACAGTTAAAAGTAAGCGAATCATTCGTGATGTTAGTCATTGTTTATATCGTGATCTGATAAGATCTGAAGAGTACCAAAATGTTTGCTTGTGAGATGAGGACTGAGCAGGATGTCACCGACCAAAACTTCTGATAATTTAACTCATTATTTTTTTTATTCGTTCAATCATTTTTCAGTGGATTTTTTAGAACTCAACTTAATATGTTTTACGGCGTGACCGTTGGGGCGAGCGCAGTTGTACCATCAAAAATCTATAGCAGCTTACACTTGTAACGTTGATCTGCCTCTTCAAACGTCAAACCGCACGAGACACAGTCTAGACTGTGACGTCACATGACGTCGGAATTTACGGAGACAGCCGAGCGTCTGGTTGAACGAGACTAAAGATCTTGTGCTATAATAAATGAAATACATTGTAGAGTAGATGTGATTATTTTTTGTTTCTTTTAAGCTCTCTGCAAAGAAAGAATAGAAAACGTATCTCTCGGTAATGAATAATTATCATTGGTCTTTTGTATGTTTTGTAAGAATTTCGCATGGAACCCTGGTAGCGAAGGAATTCTGGGAATGTTGCACCAAAAAATTTGCCTGACGTATGTACAGATTTTATTCCGAATTTCCTCTGTTCTTACACGTTAGTCTATTGAGCTTGCTGCGCTCGCTATAAACACAAATAAACTACGTCATGTAAATGATCAGATCGGCACATCTCTTGATTTAGCTATACATAATATATAAGAGTGCAACGATAAACCGTATATCGCGGTTAATTTTTCCACGGTTCAATTCACAATACGTTAAACTGATATCACAGTTCTTGTTCAATCGGTCCATAATTATCCGAATCGACCGTTTTGGTTCCTTGTTTACAATTTTAAAATGGCTTCTGCACAAAACATGAGGTCGACGAAATTGCAGATACGGCAGTTAAACTTGTCTCCAGCATATTATATACCTCATATTTAACGGGGTGAAGGATGTTTTCACTTTCCTAGTGTTATTAAAAGTTATAGATGTTAAGGCAAGTGATAAAACTCTTTAGATCCAATAGCCTTATACGGCAATACACGATATCTCATCATGTGTGTATTTATTTCGATGAAAATTCGCTGACTAGAGAACGTGTGAACACGAATTATTACAACTGGTTTTATATGTAAATAAAAGGAATAAAAGAATGCCTCTTTTCCTTTTTCATTCCAGTCAAAAAGAAAAAAAAATATTAAGAAAAGTCTTCTTTTTATAAATTATTGGAAGTCTGAATCCAGTCAACTAGTACCGTTTTGATATTTCTATTTTTTAAAAAAGTTTGAACATTGATAAAACTGTTAAGTTTTAAAAAAAATATATGATGAAAAACATCAGACTTCTTAACCTAATATGTCATGCATCGTGATACGCATCGTATCGTGAACTGAATACCGTGATACGTATCGTATCGTGGGGTAGGCGTATCGTTGCAACCCTAATAATATAGCTTGATTTAGCTATATAGCTTTATTAAGCTATTAAGGATAGCTTGATAAAGCTATTTATATGCAGTTTTTCAGAAAAATGTTTTTTGTAAGAAGATTGTGCCCAATCCCATTGTATATATATTACAATAAAATAATTTAACTCTTTGAGAAGATGAATGGTAGTCCGACATTATCATATTTAGAACAACGCAAATTATCGTTCTTTACACTTTTACGGAATAAGCCGCTTGGATTTAAAACTATCCTTAGAAAAATCACACACAAACGAAAGCAACAGAAAAGTGCAGTTAGCAAAGAAAAAAAGAACCACAAAAGAAGTCTCATGAAGCACATGATATTAATTGTTGATAAATTCATAGCGATTAGCCCAGACCGTTTTGTTAATATTCATGGTATATTTTTTTTCATCACTTTTATTTTTGAACATAATATGACTCTGTTATTTATTTTGATAATTTCCCTTCAAGTTGATTGTTTTGTTAACGTTCCTGGAAAATTTTCTCATTTATCAAATCTGTTAAACAAAATATGACTGTCATTTATTGCGATAGGTGTCATATTTAATTTCAAATAATATTCTCATATTCTCCTTTCTTTTAGCGGAATAACCAAATGACTTGTAAGAAAATAAAAATACCTGTATTTTTGAGGGGAGGGTTTATATATATTGTGATAATGAACTATATGTATTGAATTTTACAAGTTTGTTTAATATTTGTTTTTTCAAAACCATATGCATCTTCCAGGGGAAAAAACTTCCGCTTAGAACATGTTAAATAATTAACAATAAAATTTGTCGCCTTACACTCCTGTTATTTGCTATACCCTCTTCCCGGGTAAACTTCCCCATTATGTACACTTACATAATTTATTATCGGAAAATAAAATTTGTCTCCGTGTATATACTCCTGTTATTTGCAACGCTGTATGGAGAAATCAATTATTTTACTATGGAGCATTGCATGCAATGCATGCATAATAAAGAAGCGCTTTTATTCCATCAAATGTACTTATTTTAACTTGATCCCCCCAAAAAACCAAGCCCGTATTTTTCTGATGGTCAACCCCTCAAGAAACCCTCATCACGGGGAAACTGCCCCTTTATGTATATTAATATAGATTCTTTCCAGAAAATAAAATCCGTCGCCCTATATATACTCCTGTTATTTACAATGCTCTATGGAGAAATTGATCATTTTACTATGGAGCATTGCGTGCAAAGCATGCACAATAAAGAAGCGCTTTATTCCATCAAATGTATTCATTTTAGTTTGATCCCCCCAAAAAACCAAGCCCCATTTTTTCTGATGGTCAACCCCTCAAGAAAACCCTCTTCCTGGGGAAACTTCCCCTTTATGTACACTAATATAGATTCTTTATAATAAAATTTGTCACCTTATATATACTCCAGTTATTTGCAATGCCCTATGAGAAAATCAGTCGTTTTACTATGGTGCGATGCATGCAATGCATGCATAATAAAGAAACGCTTTATTCCATTAAATGCCTTTATTTTAACTTGATCCCCCCCAAAAAAACCAAGCCCCATTTTTATGATGGTCACTCAAGATAACCCTCTTACCAGGGAAACTTCCCCTTTATGTACACTAATATAGATTCTTATCAGAAAATAAAATCTGTCGCCTTATATATACTCCTGTTATTTGCAACGCCCTATGGGAAAAATGGTCTTTTTACTATGGAGCGTTGCGTGCAATGCTTTCTAGAAATCAGACAATTTCTATTGTAAATTTGCTTGATATAGTGTAATCAATATATATTTTTAGACCCTTTAAAAATATTTCACTAATTTGAGTTCTTTTTTCAAGTATACCTAATTGAATTTAATTTATTACTGATGGGGTTTGTAATTTCAATTAGGCGTAATAAAAAAATGTGTGTGTTTACGGTTACCCGACCGACCCTATATTTAATCGCCGACCCAGATTTTTTTTCATCGTAAAAACCCGAAATTACTTGCCAGTCAGTTTAACTTTTACATGCATCTTAAAAGTACTTCAACCAATTCCTGGGAATTTATGTATTAAAAAAATTCAATAAAATAAATAAAAATTCCTACCTACCGACCCTATTTTATTTCAGCATGTAACAGTAAACAAACATATTTTTTTTTGTTTGGCCTTATTTTCTTAGGCAAAAACTAAAATGCAACGTGTTGCAGATAACAGGATATAGCCAATTTTAACTCTTATTTTCAATTTTACTGAGAGAAAACAAAGAATTAGAATTCTTTGTCATTAAACAAATTTAATGAAAAAAAAAATTTTGTTTATTTATATAAATTACTGACTTTCTTTTATTTATCTTATTAAACTCTGTATAGAAGGATACAAAATTTAATGTTTTTATGATTATGCTTTAACATTTAAGGAATCTCCTATTTTAATTGAAAGGGAAAAAAACTGATTCTAGCCGAAAATCAATTGATTATATGTTTCTGATTACAACCGATTATCGATTATGATTTTTGTCCGATTATTCATCACTAATCAGGATCGGTATTCAACTTACCATTCAACTTTCGTTTTACATCCTGTGAATGTCAGCCTTATTTTGACAGCTGACAAGATGGTAATTCCTGTAATATGTATTAGACACCGATCAAATTGCTTGTGAAAGATTGGCGAGGATCAGGGATAGACATTAACTTTCAGATTGACTTGCCCTTCAGGCAAGTGATCTAAAACTTATATTTGTCCGAATGCCAAACTTGGTTGCCCAAAATAAGGAAAGAACTTAATGGCAAATTCTGCGACTTGAAGAAAAAAATTTGGTGTGGCATTTGTACATAAAAGTTTACCACTGTCATTGTAAATTTGATCTGTTTACACACACTGCCATGTAGTGATAACCCTACGTTTCTTTTTTTAATAAAAATTCATATTTCTAAAAATTATTTAGGTAGGATCCTTTTCTTAATTGTAATTTTTCAGAGATAACAGTGAAACAGCACTAAAATATAGTTGCTATTTAACATATATTTTTAGCTCACCTCGACGAAGTCGAGATGAGCTTATGCTATACCCCCGGCGTTGGCGTCAGCATTAGCGCCATGTCCCGGTTAAAGTTTTAGGAGCAAGTCCCATTCCCAAGTAAATGTAAGCCCTACCTGGACCAAACTTGCATGGATGATGCATCTGGGGATGGACACTACCACACTTGCTTCGGATGCTGGGTCTGACCTAGATTTTCCAGATGAGTGACCAGGTTAAAGTTTTTGGAGCAAGTCCATTCCCAAGGAACTGTAAGCCCTACCTGGACCAAACTTGCATGGATGATGCATCTAGGAATGGACACTACCACACTGGCTTCGGATGCTGGATCTGACCTAGATTTTCCAGATGAGTGACCAGGTTGAAGTTTTTGGAGCAGGTCCATTCCCAAGTAACTATAAGCCCTACCTGGACCAAACTTGCATGGATGATGCATCTAAGAATGGACACTACCACACTTGCTTAGGATGCTGGATCTGACCTAGATTTTCCAGATGAGTGACCTGGTTGAAGTTTTTGGAGCAGGTCCATTCCCAAGTAACTATAAGCCCTACCTGGACCAAACTTGCATGGATGATGCATCTAGGGATGGACACTACCACACTTGCTTCGGATGCTGGATCTGACCTAGATTTTCCAGATGAGTGACCAGGTTAAAGTTTTTGAGCAGGTACCCAATTATAAGCCCTAACTGGACCAAACCTGCATGGAAGATGCATCAAAGGAAGGACACTACCATACTTGCTTCAGATGCTGGATCTGACCTACATTTTCCAGATGAGTGACTAGGGTAAAGGTCTATTCCCAAGTGATTATTTAAGCCTTACCTTGACCAAACTTGCATGGATGATGCATCTAGGGATGGACGCTACCACACTTGCTTCGGATGCTGGATCTGACCTAGATTTTCCAGATGAGTGACCAGGTTAATGTTTTTGAGCAGGTACCTAACTCAGGGCTCGACATTAACGCTTGTCCGCTTGTCCGGCACCAGTGAAAAAAAATACGGACAAGTGAATATTGCTGGGCACTTGTCCGATAGGACAAGTGCATTTTTATGTAAAGAAGACTCTAAATATTTAAAAGAACGACTGTTAAAAGTTTACCGGTACTTTAAGACGGAAACAGTACATAAAAACCGAACTTTGATCCCGACATAGATCGCTATGTAATTGAGCGGTGCGTCGATTTACCCAAAAGGATCCAGAAGTAAATTATAAGCAACCCAAAAGGACATGAAGTAACGGGGATATCTGGATATTCAATGAACACTTTCATACTTTATTGAAAATAAAACAGTAGTTTGGGGGGGGGGGGAGTGTGTGTTTAGGGTGGGGGGTCCCCCTTCCCCCACCCCCACCCCCGATACCATATGCCTAGAACAAGTCATAAAATAAAACTTATTGCTTCATTATATATCATATAGTAAGATATGGTACAATAGAAGGGGAAATATAATAATATTTTGTTATTTTCAGCTCAAATAAAACAAAGCATATCTAACCAGATTTAGTGTTTGATGTGTTATATAAGGCATTATGTTATTTCTCAAAGAAAAGTTGCAACAGTATCAATTTATGTTTTTGCCAACTTTTATGTAAATTTATAATGTAATATTCATTATTTCATTCAAATTATTAATTTTCAGTATATCACAATATATTCATTTTGAGTCCTTTTGGGTTCCTTTTGAGTCCTTTTGGGTTCCTTTTGGGTTATTTTGGGTTCTTTTAGGTCCTTTTGGGTAAATCAACGCGCCCTAATTGAGTACACTCGATCGGGATTGAAGTTCACTAATTGCATACTACTGCAAAGGCATGGAACTGAGTTCGGATTCTGTTTTATGTTGACAGCATTTATGTTGTCAGGACAGAAAGTCTAGATAAAATATTGTTTTATGTGTTCGTTGTATTTGAAAATAACATCATGCACATGTAATGTACTTTATTTTTAGTTTTTCAGTTAACAGTATTAGATCTTTATTGAAAATTTTTCGGACAAGTGAAGTTGAAGTTCGGACAAGTAAATGTCTTGGTCACTTGTCCGAATGGACAAGTAGGAAAAAAAGTTAATGTCGAGCCCTGTAACTAGGGTTGGATACCGGTACTCGGTACCAATACCGTACCGAATAGTTACTTCACAAATACCGGTAAAATACCGTTTCATTTAATACTGGTACTAATAACTATACTTCTTAATCTTTAAAACATTTTAGTTCATTCAATTTGATTTAAAAAATAAACATTCCAAACTTGCTAAAATTGAATTCTCCACTCTTTGAAAGGGTAGGCTAATTACATGTAACGAAATGGATTCTTAGAAAGATACTTAATTTCGACTGCCGATATTCGAGCTAAATCAATACGTATATTTTTTTTTTAAAAATCAAAATACATTCACATGAATCTCATTTTAATTTTACAGATAAAAACTGATAATAAATGTAAATTAAAAAGGCAAAATGTCACAAAAAATGTGATCTATCCATTATCTAATGTTTCGTCATTTAGTGCGACCAAACAACAGGGGTCCTGACAACCTGGTGAAGCAGTCAGCCGATATGTGCAAATTAATTTGTTTGGGATTCAATTGATTTGTTTTGTTGATCATTTATTTATTGAAAAGTTGAAATGAAATGTTTATAATTTGAATATTAGGAATATCAATTTTTATATCCTAAAAGCATGGAACAAAGTTTATAAGCTCATTTTAGATTATATCATTGAAAGGTTAGTGAATGGTAAAAGCACATTTGTTATAAAATGAACCCTCATTCTTATTCATCAATGCATAGTACCGTATCGTTAAAAATACCGTATCGTTTCAAAAATACCGGTATGGTATCGTACCGTTTCATCCTTAATGGTATCCAACCCTATACCTAACTATAAGTCTTACCTTGACCAAATTTGCATGGATGATACATCTAGGGATGGACACAACCACACTTGCTTCAGATGCTGGATCTGACCTAGATTTTCCAGAGGAGTGACCAGGTTAATGTTTTTGGAGCAGGTCCATTCCCAAGTAATTATAAGCCGTACCTTGAACTTACTTGCATGGATGATGCATCTGGGGATGGACACTACTATACTTGTTTCTGAAGCTGGGTCTGACCTAGATTTTCCAGATGAGTGACCAGGTTTTTGGAGCAGGTCCATTCCCAAGGAACTGTAAGCCCTACCTGGACCAAATTTGCATGGATGATGCATCTAGGGATGTACGCTAACTAACCTGCTTCGGATTCTGGATCTGACCTGGATTTTCCAAATGAGTAAATTTTAGCCACATTTTAACCAAATTAGCATAGATAATGATGTATCTAGAGATGAACACTTCCAGACTTAATTTGGATTCTGAATCTAATATTGATGGATATTAATCTTGGGATGTACATTAAATGTGATGTGAGATTTGCCTTACTTGTAGATAACATTCGTCGAGGTGAGCTTAGTAATCTTTGATTACCTATGTTTATCTTGATCATGATACATCGTGTTACACTGTACTTATATTCTGAATAAATAATCTAATTTTCTAAAAAGAAGTTAACAGAGTTGTTAGACATAGTGCGTATTTACCACAAAAGAAAACAAAATAACAAACCCGATTTTTAGATGAAAGGTATAATAAGAAACGCTACTAAGGAATTCTGAATGCAAAAACAATGTCAGTCAGGTACAAGGCGGAAATGAAGTAATCAATTCATTGTTTTATTGATAACTTAATGTAAACTAAATAAATATGTACATTTCTATTAGAAAAATGTACTTGCCCGATCGGACAAGTACATTGAGAGTTTGACTTGCCCAAACTGAGAATTTACTTGTCCCCAGCAATTGGAAAACCGTTAATGTCGTTCCCTGGAGGATGTGTAGTGAAGGATATGTATATTTTAATGGACCTCGTCCATGACTTTTATTCAGGCATAATAGATAAATCTGCATCGATTGATCAGGTCAACAAAAAATCAGTACAATGTAAAGAAATAAAAAATTTGAAAATCTGTCTGCCCACCTTGACCTTTATGCACCTGTCTTAAGACGGGATGTAATATGGCGTTCATGTCCGTCCGTCCGTCTGTTAGTTTTTTCGTGTCTGGCTCATAACTTTAATACTATTATAATCTCAGCGAGATTCGTCGAGACTAAAAATTTTAGACAGACATCTCTTCCGAATCTCGGACCAGTGCCACACAAAGTGACTTGAGGAAATCTTGCCCAGACTTCGATCGCTTGTTTTGATCAATACGGGCTGAAATGAATTCCCTGCCCGCTTTAACTTTTTTCGTTGGAAATCCTTTTTAACTCCCTATCACTATAAAACTTTTGAATCTTACCTTTTAAAGGTTTAAATCCAACCAAAATCAAGTTGATTTTTTCATCGCACTGACATATTCGTTCAAACCTCCAATGCCGAAGAGTTCCAGCAATAATCTGCTTCAAATACTTCGTTCTACTATGATTTCCTATACAAATGAAACATAGTTCACAGGAGATGTATGTACATCAAACATTTATTTATAATATGATAATTGAACAATATTTGATGGGTGTATCATGCTGTGGTGGGGCACTTTATTCAAAAAATTTGGATGAGAATCTAGGAATTTTTTTTATAATGGCCTAATGTCAATTATTATGAATCATTATAATGTGACCATTACTACTATAGAAAAGGTAAGAACCAGCATAAATTTTTGGTTGTAGGCTGGGTGTTAGTGGTTTATTTAGAGGAGGATGTTCTCAGTCACCCGCTACCTTTGGAGGAGATTGAGGACTTGTCAGGTCAAAATGGTGTGGAGGCTGACCTGCGGGAGAGACAGCTGTGTTTAGCTCGTTACTATGTTGGAGATGGAATGCACAGGGCAGTTATAGTTAAAAGATCAGGTAAGTCATGAATTCAGGAAAAGTTATTTAAATACTGTATATACTAGGGTTATTTTTGTCCTGTGTAATTTTCGTACTTTCACACTTGCAAACAATTTTGTCCCGTTTTAAATTCGCCCAGTTGTATTTAAGAAATTATACTGCATTCTTTGAATTTGCCCTGTTTAAAATGTGCACACCTGTGAGTAGGGCGAAAGGGGCAAAATAAAACAGGGTTAAAAATATCCCTGTATTCATTACAAGTTTTACTTATTACTTTCACTGAAAGTGTTTAATTAATTGGTGCCTGTCAGTATGATCAAACCTCATTATCTGGAACTCAATGAGACCGAGAATAAACTTCGAAGATATCCAAGGATTCAAGATATCCAGGGTAAAATACTTAAAGAAAAAGGGGTTAGAACTTCAAATCACTTTGGCATATCTATGGTATTTGAGATATCAGTGTTTGAGATACTGAAGTTCAGCTGTATTTGAATAAAATTGGGAAATGTTTCGGGATTATCTGTTCAGTTTACCCATATAATTTCAGGACCATAATAGAACTAGAGTGTTCAAAGGAACATGTGTTACCTGCTTTATAGCTTTATTAAAAATGTAAAAAAAAAAAAAAAAAAAAAAAAAAAAAAAAAAAATTAAGAGTGATCAGCTGTTATCCATATGTCCTTCCATCTGTCCGTTACACTAGGGAGTACCCATCTCTTATCCTCAAATCCTCCTATATCAATGAAAAAAATTAATGAAGCATTCAAAGAATCTTTATAACATAGTGCCATTGTGCACCTTGAAGTTCTCTTTTTTTTCTTTTGATTGGACAGATATTTGGGGTTTCCCAAAGCAAAAAGTGGACTTGGTATCATTTGTGAGCTCAGTGCTCACAGTGCCATTAGTTTATTCAGTGGAATAATATATAAGATTCAACATATAATTCAATTCTGATTGTATGCCTTTTTTAGCGAAAGCAAAATTTAGACACCTGCCATTCTTTCTATAATATTATGGGATACCCATCTCTTATTTGTAACTCCTATACCACTGAATAAAATTTATTGAGACTTTAACATTGTGCCATTGTGAGCCTCCTATTTTTTTGTTTCAATTGGACAGATATTTGAGTTTTCCAGTAGCAAAACCTGGACACTGCCATTCTTTCTATAACATAGGGGGTACACATCTCTTATCCACAACTGAATAAAATTTATTGAGACTTTCACACAATCTTTAATACACAGTGCCAATGTAATCTTCAGGTGGTGTAGAATCAAGTTTGTTCCAATCATGACCCTCGGGCATAGGGTGGGGCCACAATGAACCATCAAAGTTTAACATAGGAGTATATGGAAAAATATTAGAAATTCTTCTTCTCAAGAACAGCAAAGCCATGATTGGTCATATTTATGTGAAAGCATCCTCAAGTGGTGTAGATTCAAGATTGTTCAAATCATGACCCCCAGGGGTAGGATGGGGCCACAATGGACGATCAAAGTTTTACATAGAAATATATAGGAAAAATTTTTAAAAACTTTCTTCTCAAGAACAGCAAAACCATGATTGGTCATATTTATATGGAAGCATCCTCAGATAGTGTAGATTCAAGTTTGTTCAAATCATGAACCCTGGGGGTAGGTTGGGGCCACAATGAAAGTTCAAACTTGTAGGAAAAAAAAGGTCACAGTCAAAAAAATATGTAAGCATCCCTAGTTAGTATAGATTCATTTTGTTCAAATCATCCCCCCCCCCTCCCTTTTAGGGGTAGGTCGGGACCATTTATGCATTTAAGCTTTTCAATACTTAACTGATTTTTGCATTTTTTCCTAGCCACAGTGCTCAGTTGAGCGATGTGGCCCCTGAACCTCTTGTTTTTAAACATGCTTCCTTAAAGATTTAATTTGAAAAGGAAAAAAGTACTACATGTAACATTTTTTGCAAAAAATATTGATTTACTGGTTATGAAAATTGTAAGTGGTTATGATCTTTCAGACTACCGGTAACTTAAGATGTTTACTAGAACTTTGATATGCAGGTAATGTTGAAACAAGAAATATTTCTACTAATTATTTAATTTGTCTTTACTTTTGAAGAGAATCAAGAGGAACTGATGAACTTCTACAATGAAGTAATGAAGCTGGAGAAAGATGAACAAACAAAAAATAGAAACAGTATGTGTACTAGATGTCAAACGTTTGTTTGATTTTGTTCCCCATTGCAGCTGACTTGAAGAAAAAAATCTGTGAAAAAAATGATGTATTTTTGTTGTAAAAAAAATTATGCCATTTTTAAACTAATGAAAAAGAAAAAATTTCTTAAGTCAAAAAGTTTAGATGCAACAGGGAACAAATCTTTGATTTACAGCCTTTATATTCATTATATACACTGTAAATGGTTGAATTCTCTCAAATTAATTAACATCTCATATACTTTCTGTAACTTTATTTTTGCAAGACAATAACATTTATTTATCCCATGAAATACAGTTTTCTCCAATCTTCCATATGATCAGTAATGAGTATTTCATGTCTTTATTCTAGAGAGCCTTTTCTCGGAGAAGAAATAAAATTTTCACACATAAGACATGACCTGCAGTTCATACTGTAGTAAATATTCCTCACTGTTCACTGTAAATAATTGAATGTTTCAGAGAACCTTTGGCATTACACTAAGGTGATAGGAGGAAGTGTGGTGGTGGGTGGCTTAGCCGTGGCGGCTGCTCCACTTGCTCTCTCTGCAGCAGGCTTCTCTAGTGGAGGTATTGTGGCAGGTTCTTTGGCTGCACGTCTGATGTCCATGGCAGCGATTGCTAACGGTGGTGGTGTGGCAGCTGCCAGTGCAGGAGGCTGGATTGCTGCTCTACAATCTGCTGGTGCTGCTGGAATATCTGCTACTACAAATGCTGTGATCGGCACAACAGCAGGGGGATTGTTTGGCCTTTTTAGTGGTAGAAAGAAATCATCAAGAGGTAACATAATTATACACACACAGAATATAGGAAAGTTTTGTTATGGTAACTTTATCAAATGTGTCAACTTGCAATATGTGTTACATGTACATGACAATGTCCAAACTATTACTGTATATGTATTTGAAATAGCAGGCTTCAAATTTTAGCAACTTTAGCACAGACAACGATGCGCTAATTCATGAATACCGCTAAGAAATCATTTATAAATACAATATATGGTGCTTTAGTGTGTAATGCTAATACTCATGAATATGCCAACAATCCAATATCTAGTGATTCCGTTAAATTTTAATACAGTAATTTATGTACAAGTACAGTATATTATGCAGTAACTCAAGTTCTAATGATTTCATTTGCACATAACAGTAAGAGGGTGAGAGGGCAATCTTAGAGAAGACACCTGTATGTAGATACTGTACACACCAATCTTAGAGAAGACACCTGTATGTAGATACTGTACACACCAATCTTAGAGAAATGACACCTGTATGTAGATACTGTACACACCAATCTTAGAGAAAAGACACCTGTATGTAGATACTGTACACACCAATCTTAGAGAAAAGACACCTGTATGTAGATACTGTACACACCAATCTTAGAGAAGACACCTGTATGTAGATACAGTACACACCAGTCTTAGAGAAGACACCTGTATGTAGATACTGTACACACCAATCTTAGAGAAAAGACACCTGTATGTAGATACTGTACACATCAGTCTTAGAGAAGACACCTGTATGTAGATACTGTACACACCAATCTTAGAGAAAAGACACATGTATGTAGATACTGTACACACCAATCTTAGAGAAGACACCTGTATGTAGATACTGTACACACCAATTTTAGAGAAGACACCTGTATGTAGATACTGTACACACCAATCTTAGAGAAAAGACACCTGTATGTAGATACTGTACACACCAATCTTAGAGAAAAGACACCTGTATGTAGATACTGTACACACTAATCTTAGAGAAGACACCTGTATGTAGATACTGTACACACCAATCTTAGAGAAGACACCTGTATGTAGATACTGTACACACTAAAAGGTGTTACAATCAAAACTGCAGAGCTCAGACTTAAAACATTTTCTTGTTATTAGCTCACCTAAGCTAAAAACTCTAAGCTATTCTGATCACATTTTGTCCAGCGTCCATCTTTCTTTCTGTCCATCTGTCGGTAAACTTTTCACATTTTCAACTTCTTCTTAAGAACCACTGGGCAAATTTCAACCAAACTTGCAATAAAACATTCTTGGAATCCTTTATTCCAAGAAACACTCTTAATTAATAATTAAGACTTAGTGAAAATGTAATGGCATCTATAAAAATCTTCTCCTCGGGAACCACTGAATAAGAAAAAATGAAACTTATATGAAAGCTTCATTAAGTAGTGTAGATTCAAGTTTGTTCAATCATGAATCTTTGAGGTAGGGTGGGACCAAATTTGGTGATCAAAGTTTAACATAGGAATATATAGGAAAGTATTTCTTCTGAAGAACAGCAAAGCCATGATTAGTCATGTTAATGTGAAAGCATCTTCAGGTTGTGTAGATTCAAGTTCCTTCAAATCATGACTCCTGCAGGAAAGGTGGGGCCACAATGAGCTATCAAAGTTGTGCATAAGAATATTTAGGAAAAATCTTCTTGACAAGAACAGCAATGCCATGATTAGTCATATTTATTTGGAAGCATGTAGTATAGATTCAAGTCTGTTCAAATCATGACCCTTGGGGGTTGGATGGGGCCAAAAATTTGGTGATCAAATTTTTCCATAAGAATATAAAGGAAAAATCTTTAAAAATCTTTTTCTCAAGAACAGCATAGCCATTGGCCATTAGCCATATTTATATGGAAGCATCCCTGGGTAGTGTAGATTCTAGTTTGTTCTAGAGGAGGGAGTGGGGCCACAATGGGCAATCAAAACTTTACATAGGAATAGATAGGGGGGAAAATATGCTGTTGAAGAACAGCAGGGCCATAGTTACTCATGTGAGTGTTGTGGCCCATGGGCCTCTTGTTTCATAAAAATAATGTTGTAATGTTAAATAAATCAAAATTAGAATTTTAGGGTTGATTCAACGGGAATTAAGATGAGTCTATAATTTTGAACATACTAAATTTATTTCACTGTATTCTTGTCTTTGACTTCACTACTAATCTGAAATAGATTTGTTAACCAATGAAATATCATTATAGTGCAATCTTTGTTTATTTTATTTTAAGGTAATGGGGAGTCAAAAGAAGGCAATGGAGAGACAAAAGACATAAGGAACACTGTCAGATGTGCCAGGAAGACATCAGAATTAGGTAGGTGTTTACAGTCCAGCTGACATGGTACAGGTAGAGAACTTTGTTATATAGATTTAATAGCTACCCAAGTTATACTTTATAACCAGGGTTGGGGCAGTTTATGCTTTATAAACTGCAATTTAATAGCTACCCAACTTATACCTTATAACCAGGGTTGGGGCAGTTTATGCTTTATAAACTGCAATTTAATAGCTACCCAACTTATACTTTATAACCAGGGTTGGGGCAGTTTATGCTTTATAAACTGCAATTTAATAGCTACCCAACTTATACTAAATATAACCAGGGTTGAGGCAGTTTATGCTTTATAAACTGCAATTTAATAGCTACCCAAGTTATACTTTATAACCAGGGTTGGGCAGTTATGCTTTATAAACTGCAATTTAATAGCTACCCAAGTTATACTTTATAACCAGGGTTGGGGCAGTTTACGCTTTATAAACTGCAATTTAATAGCTACCCAAGTTATACTTTATAACCAGGGATGGGGCAGTTTATGCTTTATAAACTGCAATTCAATAGCTACCCAAGTTATACTTTATAACCAGGGTTGGGGCAGTTTACGCTTTATAAACTGTGATTTAATAGCTACCCAAGTTATACTTTATAACCAGGGTTGGGGCAGCTTACGTTTTATAAACTGCGATTTAATAGCAACCCAAGTTATACTTTATAACCAGGGATGGGGCAGTTTATGCTGTATAAACTGCAATTTAATAGCTACCCAAGTTATACTTTATAACCAGGGTTGGGGCAGTTTACGCTTTATAAACTGCAATTTAATAGCTACCCAAGTTATATTTTGTAACCAGGGTTGGGGAAGTTTATGCTTTATAAACTGCGATTTAATTGCTAGATAAGTTATACTTTATAACCAGGGTTGGGGCAGTTTACGCTTTGTAAACTGCAAAGTGTTTATAAAAAAGTGTTAACAGTTTCAATGCAGATTATACAAGTATATCTTGGGTAGCTATTGAATTTATTCTTTATCATTTAGTTTTCTAACATGTATTGTAAAACTTCAATTGTGCAGAATTTGAATGCAACCTTGAGCAGATTGATACATTGTTGTAGTAGGTCATATTGTAATGTTGGCAACACGGATTATACAATATCAGCTAATTTTTTACAACAGTCAAATGGTACAACCAGAATTAAATGATTATCAATGAACTTACCTTATGTTATAACTTATCATACTGTAGATATGGATAGACAGACATCTGATCATAGGACAGCAAATAATAATTCAGCACAGACAACTGACCCTGGAGATCCCAGACATTCTGAAGACCAACAGGAATTTTCCTTACGACCTAACCAGAATTCATCAAGATCAGCGGTCAATATTCTAGAAGAGGAGTTGAATTCTGATTTTCAGTCTCTTAGTTTTAATGAAGGTAACCAATATTTTCAGTTACAAATATTTCCAAATGTGTATAATTCTATCCTACCAGAACCCAATCAAACTTTAGAAGCAGATATCAAGAATGTTATACCCAGCTTCTGCTGTTTGATTCAAGAGGGAGGTTAGCTTAAAAATCTTCTGTATATAAAGCCAACCCATTTATTAACTTGGTTTTCCTACTCCTTCCTACAGTTTTCAAGATAGGAATTTTTTTTTATTTTTGCAGATTAGCTGTACATAATGTAAAAAGTATTTTTTTCCACAGGATCATAATTCCATAGAATCACAATTTCTGTTCAATCAACGAGTAGAAAATTATGTGGAATTCTTCGGCTGTAATTGTTTGTCTTAGATACACTTTGAGTATGTTGGGACAAATTTCCACATAAAATTTTTTTGACTGTGTACAAGGTTTTTATTAATCCCATGCAGAAAAAAGTATATCTACAGTATATCAGAGATTTGCCTATTGCTAGGATCTTGATTTTTGATGATTTATGAGAAAAATACCAGTTGTTGAACTTAAAAAAATGTTATGCAACATATTGCTTATTGGATTAGTAATTTGTCTGGATACCCCCCCCCCCCCCCCTTTACAGTTTTTAAGATAGGAACTTTTTTTTAATTTTGCAGATCAGTTGTACATATATCAGAGGATATGCATAGTACTGTTCACTTAAAAGAAACCTGGTTTGCTGTCACATTGACAGCTTTTCCCTTGTACATGTATATACATGAATTAATTTTCAGCTCTCCTGAGCCCATTGATCTTTTCTGATCAAAACTAGTCTGCTGTCTGTAGTTGTTGTAGTTGTCATCGTAAACTTTTTCCTATTTTATCTTCTCCTCAAGAACCTCTGGGCCAATATCAACCAAACTTGGCACAGAGTATATCTAGGTAAAGAGGATTCAGGTTTGTTCAATTGAAGGGCCACACCCACTTCCAAGGGGTAATAATTAAGAAATAGTAAAAATTGGGTCAGGTCATTTAAAAATTTTCTTCTCAAGAACCACTTGGCCAAAAAAGATGAAACCCTCAGGGTAAATTGGGGCCACATTGACAAGAGGAATATATCAAAAAATCTTTTTTAAGAACAGGAAAGTCTTGCTTAGTCACATTTATATATGGAAGCATCCTTAGGTAGTGTAGATTCAAGTTTGTTCAAACCATGACCCCTGGGGGTAGGGTGGGTCTAGAATGGACAATCTAAGTTTTCCCAGGAATATATAGGAAAAGAATCTGCTGATGAAGAACAAAAAGGGCCATAGTTACTCAAGGGGGCATTGTGGCCCATGTTTTGTTTTGTTTTGTTTTTTGGTTTTTAAAGATAGCAAAATTTCACAATTCAAGTTCCTTTGCTATTGACTAACATGTGACTGTGTTTCAGATGCAAAAAATCTGTATCGTGAAAATCTGAGACTTCAGGAGGAGAATCAATGTAAGATCTGTATGGATTGTGAAATGAATACTCTGTTTGAGCCGTGTGGCCATCTTTGTGCCTGTCAACAGTGTGCCTCACAGCTGAGAAAATGTCCAATCTGTAACCAGAAAGTCAAAAAGTTACACAGAGTGTACAAGTCCTAAAGTTACACAGAGTGTACAAGTCCTAAAGACAGTCCTGTCTCTTGTTCCAGATTGCTGTATCTGGTATAATTACTTTTTGTTCAGATAGTAAAGCTATATTCTTATTTATGGCCAGAAGTGAGCAGTAAGCAGTATATCTATTGAGCTACAATGACTCATTTTCTGTCCCCGTAATGATAAAATGTTCATAGTGTACTTAACATGTATATATTTTAATAAATTATCATGTATATTGTTCACCTTTTGCTTCATGTATCGCTTTCTTCCATATTTGTCCATCAGTTGTAAACTGATGAGCATTTCCCATTCCTGATTTGGCACAACCAATTTTAATTACAGTTGAACTTCAGTATCACGAACACTGATACCTCAAATACCATGGATATGTCAAAGTGATTTGTAAGTCCCAACCACTTATTCTTTATGTATTTTACCCTCAATTTCTTGAATCTTCATATATCTCGAAGTTTTTTCTCGGTCCCATCGAGTTCGAGACTGTATATAATGTATAGAGGGGAACACAAAGTATGAATTTCATGGTATTAATAACCCTAAGGCATGAGTGATGAGGGTAAGGCCAAAAAAAATTTAATCAATAGTTTCTCAAGCACCGCTGCATCAGGTCAAAAACTGTTGCATTGATCAATTTTACTGACATATTGAAAAAGAATATAACTCGATTTTCTATTTTTCCATGTTGAAAAAGAAAATTGAGTTATTTCCCTTTTCATCCATGCTTTAAGATGAACGTTTTTATCAGATAAACAATTTATTTCTTGTTAATACATATTTTTTAAATTAACTTTTGAATGTTTGGAATAACATTATTTAAAGTTGAATATATATATATATATATATTGTAATTATTGTAAGAGAATAAAAAAAGTAAGAATCAGTTGATATCATCATTTTGTTGAATGATTGACATAAAAAGAAAAGTAGATAACACCTGCTTTAAAGAAAAGTCTGCCTGCTGCATTGAATATTGAAATTTTTGGCTTGAGAAACAATTAATTTTTCTGGGCCTAATCATTTAAAACCATGCAATCTTTAAAAAAATCTTTTAATTGCTCAGGGATGTCAACAGAAAAACTGTTTCCATGAGTATAATAAGCAATTGGACCTATAATAAATTAGGGTGTGGCTCTAAACAGTTAAAAAAAATTGAAAAAGGGGGGGGGGATTATATAAATATTGAGCGCCATATCTTTAGGGCAGATCACTCTAGCTGCATGAAACTACCAGGTACCTTAGAAATAGAACTCTTCATATACAGTGTTTAACTACCCGACTTGGTTTCTGGATTTAGGCCCTGTGTTGGGCATAGTGAGATCTGGTAGACTTCTCAAAGTTCAAGTTATTGATAATATATGGAACCTGTCATGTCTGATGTCAGGAATCTGGATGTAAAAGTTTAGCCAATAGGATTAAAGGAAGTTGAATACTATTCATGTAGCTTATTTCAGATGTACAAGTAGTACAAAGGGTGGATCTAGAGTTTTAACTGTTTTAAACGTGATTTACTAATATAAGTATCCAAGCGCATGCAGAATTCTAAAAATTATATAAAGTGACATATAGGTCCAACGGGCAAGGTTCCGATTGTTAATTTTCATATATACATGTATTGTGTCTTAAATGTCATGTATGCACAATGTCACTATAATAAACACTTACTTACTTAACTGATTGTTATTTCATTTAGTTATTTCTTTAAAGTTATTATACTCCCGCTCCGAAGGAGAGGGGGGAATACTGTTTTACCCTTGTGTGTGCGTGTCTCTGTCCGTAACAAATTTTTCCTCGCAGTTTTCTCACAATCTGATTAAAATCAGATCCTTTGATCCGCTCACATAATCGCTACACAAGGCTTGTGTAGCGATCGCCTTGTGTAGCGATCTGTGTGAGCGGATCAAAGGATCTGATTTTTTACCCTTGTGTGTGCGTGTCTCTGTCCGTAACAAATTTTTCCTAGCAGTTTTCTCACAATCTGATTAAAATCAGATCCTTTGATCCGCTCACATAATCGCTACACAAGGTTTGTGTAGTGATCTGTGTGAGCGGATCAAAGGATCTGATTTAAATCTGATTGAATTTTCTTAGCAACTACGTACTCATCGCAGATGCTTGAAATTGTTTAGGCATGCCATATACATTTTTGTAGGAATCCGATGTAAACTTCCTGTTTATTTGTGCGTCTGTCCGAACCATACATAACAAATTTTCGTCACAGTTTTCTCAGCAACTGCTCATCAGATGCATGAAATTTTTAAAATATCTGGATGTTGAGAAATTGTAAACTTTCTATGATGTTTTAAATACTATGTATTGTCATCAGCCTTATAATTCTATACAATGTTTTTTTACACTTTGAGATAATGTGAAACTGAAAAATTAATATTTTTCAGGTAAAACTTATTCATATTACTTATATAAACGTAGTATTAGGTGTTATTTTCATGATTTTTATGCCCCTGGATCGAAAGATCCCGGGGGTATATTGTTTTAGTCCTGTCTGTCTGTCTGTTGTCAGCTTTAACCTAACCCATAACTATTGGGCTGTCAAGGGTAAGGCTTTAATATTTTACATGAGTGTTCATTATGACAAGACCTTTCCTTGGGTACCACCATATATGATCTTTTGACCTTGGAGTTTGACTCAGTTTTGCAAAATTTTACCAAACTTTAACCTTGGCCATAACTTTTGAACGGTTGGTGCTAGGGCTTTCATACTTCACATGTATAATCCATGTGACAAGACCTTTTTTTTGGATACCAACAACTTCGACCCTTTAACCTTAGAGTTTGACCTACTTTTGGAAAACTTTAACCTTTGCGATAACTTTTGAACAGTTGGTGCTCGGGCTTTCATATTTCACATGTGTAATCCTTGTGACAAGACCTTCCTTTGGATACCAACAACTTTGACCTTGACATTGGAGTTTGACCTACTTTTGGAAAACTTTAACCTTTGCGATAACTTTTGAACAGTTGGTGCTCGGGCTTTCATATTTCACATGTGTAATCCTTGTGACAAGACCTTCCTTTGGATACCAACAACTTTGACCTTGACATTGGAGTTTGACCTACTTTTGGAAAACATTAAACTTGGCCATAACTTTTGAACGGTTGGTGCAAGTGCATTCATACTTCACATATATAATCCTTGTGACAAGACCTTTCTTTGGATACCAACAGCTTTAACCCTTTGACCTTGACCTTGGAGTTTGACCTACTTTTGGAAAACTTTATTCTTGGCCATAACTTTTGAACGATTGGTGCTTCGGCTTTCGTATTTCACCTGTGTATTTCTTGGGAGAAGGCCTTTCCTTTGGCACCATTAATTTTGACCTTGACCTTGATGTTTGACATACTTTTGAGAAAAAAAAACTTTAACCTTTTCCATATCTATTCAATGGTTGCTGCTAGGCCTTTCATATTTCACAGGTGTATTCCTCGGTACAAGACCTTACTTTGGGTATCAACATATTTGACTTGCATTTGAGAAAGTTTAACCTTTGCTGTAAGTTGCCATACGGGGCATCAGTGTTTCACAAACACATCTTGTTTTTTTTTTTTTTTTAAGTTTATTTGTATCATCTGTCCTTAATACTTGTGTTTGAGTTTGAAATCAGTTGTGACATATTCATAAATAATTAATTAATAATTTATATATTGGAATAATTAAAGTACATAGAATAAACTATCACTTTTACAATGTGTAATGCCTTATCATCCAACAGTAAAACTTCTTGAGACATAAAATTTCGCAATTGTATGTTAAGGGCTTACTGCTTTTCAACAGTAAAAGGTTATGTTTGAAAAAGTGGGGGAGGGGCTTTCCCCGATACAACTCACCTGGGATTAAGGGGTGAGGCAAGCTGATAGTACGTTAAAAAATTCTTAGCTGAAAAACTTTCAATTTAGCATTTGATTGCAGGATTATGATGAGGCAATTGGATTTCTTCCAAAGTTAAAAACTTAGTTTTTACGTTTGGGGCTTAGTTGTAAAATATGACACATACTAGTTATATTTTTAAGAATCTTCTTGACAGCTGGACAATCAGCAATTAAGCAAAGGGTTTCCATTGTAATATTGAGGAACACTGAAACTATAAGTTTTGAAGTTAATGTCTCCATGGAAACAAAAAAAGGGAATTTTATTATTTATTTTTTTATATTAATGATTTTAAAAAAATCTTAATGTTGAGTCTAAAAGCTTTTAAAAAATATTTATTAAAGTATTTATCTAATCTTTAAAACTATGATTGCAAATGGACTGAAATAAAATGCTTTAATCCACTTAGACCGTTGCATACAACATGTAATACCAGTTTATATTTCATGTAGATCTACATGCAGTCCGTATACATGCAGTCCGATGCATACTAAAAATTTTGTCCGATCCATCGGGACAACGGGTCGCTGTTGAAATAAGCCCGTGTCTAAAAATAGTCTCCAAATCATAATGTTGTTTTTGCATTGCTGAAAATATTAATAAGGGTGATGTAGGAATATGAAGTATTGCTTTACGAGTGTCAAATACAGTGTGCCCTGGGATTATTTAGAATTTCAAAGGCAATTTTTTCCGTTGTGGCATAGAATATTTCCCACCCCAACCTTTAATTTGATTTTTGGTTTGGGTTTATAAGGGGGTAAACCACCTTGTTTTTTGATGAGTTTTTACTTATTTATTTACAATGTATATGTTTTGTTTTGTTGTTTTTTTTTTGTTTTGTTTGATTTATTTTGTTTTGTTTTCTTTTGTTTTTGTTACATGTAATTATTTTCATAAGCTGTCTTACAACACAATTACTTTATGTGTGTAACCAAATAACAAGTGCATGTAAACTTCAGTTTACGTATATATGTTAAATAGGTCCATTGTAAATTAAGCACTGAATGTGTGTTCGTAAACAATTGTTTCAAGTTGATGTCTATACGCAAGACGAACACACTCGATGGATAATTTACATGAACATAAAACCTGACGAGGAAGTTTGAATGGGAAACTCATTTCATTCATTAAAATTTTGTATCTTTTTTCATAAAATGGGACTCGTAAAATCAGGATTGATATAAACAATATTAAACGTTCTAAGTATAACCACATTATCTCACGATAGAATAAGACTTACATCTGAAAAGAATTCATCAAAACCTTATTTACATATTAACAACCCGGTCAAACTAATGTTAAACGATTGCAAAAATGTGTCATATCACTTAACAATAGAAAATTTACGATAGAATATTTAGAATATCATGCAAAAATTGGGGGGGGGGGTGCTGTATACATGACTGTACAGTTTCAATAATTAGAATCTCTCTCTCTCTCTCATAAAACGTACTCAAAAAGTAAGCTGATTGAATAAAAAAAAAACTGAGCTATCAATAACATTCTTTGTACATAGTTACTTTTGACATGTTTCCTTGCTATTTTGTATGTAAACTATCAAACAAACATGAACATAATGGGTTCAATATATTGTTGCATTGTCTCTTTCACATCTTGCTATACAACAGGTACATATAATTAACTGATTTTCTATTCATAAAATTACATTTAATGCCTAGTTGTTAACTTGAACAAATCGTAAGTAAGATTACAAATGTACAATAATATATTAATTCTATGTAACTATTTTACAAACTGAGTTGATTCTGTACATTGTTTTATATATATATATATATATATATATATATATATATATATATATATATATATATATATATATATATATATATAAGACAACCTGGGTTGGGGCGAAGCGGTTTATAAAAGAGCGTAAACTGTTCCAACCCAGGTTATACCAGTATAACTTGGGTGGCATTTAAATTCATTCCTTATAATTTAATTTTCCATCATTAAGTGTGAAAAATAAGACAATTTCTCCTGCAAAAATGCCTTTAAATTATACGTATTTTAAATAAGCGGATTGATACGTTTTTGACGTAAGTCGTTGTGACGTAGGCAACTCAGGTTATACGATATATTCTATTTTTTTTATCCAATCAAATGACGCGTTACAACCAAAATTGAATTTTATATATATATATATATATATATATATATATATATATATATATATATATATATGTGTGTGTGTGTGTGTGTGTGTGTGTGTGTGTGTGTGTGTGTGAGTGTGTGTGTATGGTATATTTGTAATCATAATTGTTACGTGTTAAACCCCATGAAGCCCTAATATGGAAATCAATTATATTCTCTTAATAATTGCGTACTATCCAAAAATCCAAATCATGCATTATCTTATTGCAGAAAAGGAATTCGTTTCAGGTCATCTGTAAAGAAAAAAATACCTATCGTTTTTATATATTCATTTTTATTATTTGGGGGGATTTGTGAACTTTTGCACAGACAAATATTCTTTTTTTTTTTATCTGACGTCTACGGAAACACAGATGAAACATTTACTTCCTAGCGGATAAATTTTGACGTGTATTATATCTTCTTTTGAATTTTAATCAGTTTCGCATTCTGGGCAAGAAAAGAGAACATCATTTTATTGGATATTAATCTATTATTGACAGTATATTAGTTCTAACGATGGAACAGATCGACAGTAAGATAACTGTTTGACGTTATTTCTCTGCGATAACTGGTGTAACCACAAACTAACAAGAGACCTGTGAGACAGCGTCATCCATCAAGGCTCTGCTCAAGCGTGACAAAAGAGCTCTGATTTATTTGACCAAGGAAGTTACGTTACATGTAGTTCACGCTCAAATACTAGAGTTCATTGAAATCAGTCAACTATATAAGAGACAGATAATCATTTTGATATCAGTCTGAAATATAAAATCTAGAAGATAAGAGGATTAACACTGATACAGGACTTGTTTGTTACTATGCATTACAACGCTTTAATGTTGATGTTACTGACCGCGCTATGCTCTATCCCCGACTCCCTTCAACATGGTTATATGATAGACCCTCCATCACGATCCTCACTGTGGAGGGTGAATGATAAAGCACCCCCTAACTATAACGACAACAGACTCTACTGCGGCGGGAGACAAGTAAGTACATATAGGATCAGTTTTGATCTGAATTATGAAAGTCATTTGTTTTCTAGAAATATAGTCTTTTCGAAATAGAGGAATGGCATATGTATTTTATATGTTCCTTTTTCTTAAACAGAAAATTCAAGAACTGGGTGGATTATGTGGGCCGTGTGGGGATCCATACGATGGTGAACGCGAAAACGAGGCTGGTGGAAAATATGCTCTTGGAATAATTTCGAAAAAGCTGCCTGATGGAGCTGACATTCTGGAAACAAAAGTAGTTATAACGGCATTTCATAAAGGATACTTTGAGTTTAGAATATGTGTGAACAATGACGTTACTAAGAGAGTGACGCAAGAATGTCTAAATGAGAATCTTATGACCATTGTGGAAGGCGATGATCAGTTCCCCACGCGATTCTACCCTCCCGGTCCCGGAGATCACGTGGTACACGTAAACCTACCAAACGGAATCAAATGTTCCCAGTGTGTTGTACAGTGGAGGTACAGAACAGGTCAGTTACGAAGCCAGTCGTAATCATTTTTTCTTTACCGTCATGTAATGATTCTTTATCTTTTAGTTGGCTTTTTTCTATATCTCTATTTCTATTTTAGGAAACAGCTGGGGTAGAGATCTTGATGGCACAGGTTGTCTCGGTTGCGGAGTACAAGAAGAATTCCGTACCTGCTCCGACATCAGCATTGGTGCTGGCGACGGTAAAGAGCAATATAGTCAAAATAATCAAGAACTTGTGGACCCCCTTGTTACAGAAAATAACATGCAGCCGAGAGTTAAAACCCTTAGAAGCTTCATACCAAAATTTCAAAATAAAGTCCAAATTCCTCCTGTACCCCCGACTCCTGCTCTCACAGTCCGCACAACTCAAAAACCGGAAGTCCGCAGACTGACTCTCGATCACTTGTTGAAACCCAAAATCAACATTGACAATTCCAGACACCGAGGAAGACCCATTAAACCAAAACCTAGAATCACTTTTCTAGAAAGCACCACAACGGAGAGACCTGTTATCGAACCTACAACATCAACGAATTTAATGAAAACCCGCCTTATGCAGCTTCGAAAGCTCAAGAGATTAGCTGCCTTAGCTATACAAATGAAATCTCTGCTCAATACACTGCGTCATCTTCCTGTGTTCAAAAATCTAAATCTTGGTAAATTAGACGAAGAAATTGTACAGCAGAGAGATGCTCCTTGGAACAACTTAGTCAAGCCATCAGACAAAAAGACGATAACAAAAGTGAGGTCGTTTCCTTGGCAGTCCGGTCTATCACTGAATGAAATTAAATCAAAAACGAATCGGAAACCAGTGCAGAGGAGCAGAAGTTCCGCACACATACTCAGCATCCCTCCCGCTAAAGGAAGCCCAAAATTTAATTTCCCTGTCCTTCCTCCCCCAAGCCGTTTTCTGGGGGGCCAGTTCAGAAGAGAGAAGACACGTACAGTAACATTAGGCTCAGAAAAAGACGACGCACAAGTTACAGAATCTCTACCAATTACAAAGGAGAAAAATACGAAGGAGAACAACTTTACAATATATAAAAATGAATTCAATGTTATAAGCCCGGAGTCTTTGGAGGGAGAGACCAGCATTGCCGACTGGTACAAAAAGATTGTCAAACTGATGGTCCAAAAACAGTACCCAGTGTCAGAAATCAAAAAAAAAGTCGAAAGACTCCAGCAGATTAAAGATGTTCATAAAACAAAACCTACAGTAATGTTAGAGAGTCTTCAAAACTCAGACGTATCTGTAACAAAAACTGAATTCCCCCAAAATGCTCTCTCAGACAACAGTTTATCTTCAGCGTTACCAACATTACAACCAACATCGTCAACAGACATAAATATGGTCTACCCCAAAATGGACAATACACCAGCGGTAGAAAACAGAAACGCAGTATACCCGGAGGCAGACCAAAGGCCGCTTATCGCATCCTCGTCACAAAAAGCCCGCGACATTAACGCCATTCCACCAAACATTAACACCGTGAGGCGGCATGTTGAGTCCGGTGGCCCCTCTGTCAGTAATCCGTACGTGGATTATTCTGAAGACAACCAGCTTACTCCAGCAGAACGGCGGCCATTAACCTCCAAGCTGAGGAACTTCCTGGAATTCAACCCAGAATTCAGAATTCCCTTCGGAGCTGTCTTCCACTAATGGAATGTAAAACTGATGATTTCCGAGTGACATACATTGTATTATAATTGTTTTCAGTTTATATTTATTTTTACATGGCTTTTTGTAACTTTATTTATGAATCGAGAGTGTGGTGCTTTTTTATACATTGTTTACTTGTCATTCCTGTTGAGTCTGCTTTTAGTCACTTCCCGTGATTTGAATCAACTGTGATGCACTTATTTATTATTATTTATTCGCTACCGTTTAACTTTTACAATGTTTTTATTTTTATAATAAAAAATCATAAAAAAATAAGAGTGTTCGAATTATTTATTAACAGGTGTGTGTTTTGATCATCTCGGAATTTAAAAGCAAGGTTTGAATTCGATTCAGTTCCTTGAATTTTATAATCTGAATACCGTACCTCCTTTGAAGCAACAGTCCTCTGTATAAAAAGATGTATTGTAAACATTTTCATATATGCTATACTTGTGTTTCCCTGTTATAAGTTAAAATGTTATAATTTAAAAAAAAAACGTCAACCGCGGGAAAAAAACACACAAATAGGTACTGGGTTTGCAGATGTGAAATGATGCCCGGGCTTATATACAATGTCTGTATAATTCTGAAAACTCTAACTGATATGTATTCAGTTAATAAGTGATGGTGTACAGGTGCTAGGTATGGGCCAAAACAGGGTTTTTTTTAGTTTTACATGAGGATACAAAGAGGGGATGGTTAAAAATCATGCCCTCAAGAAGCACTGGGCCAGGACAAGTCATATAAAATATGAAAGCATCCAAATGTTTTGCAGATTCAAGCTTGTTCAAATCATTAGTTCTGGGCACAGGGCACTTGTTTTTACAATAAGTTTTTACCCCATAGTGTTATAATTATTCTAATCTATGGGGGCAAAAAATTATTTCGAAATCAAGTGCCTGTGTCCTTGGACTCGAGTTGGGCTTAAATAGGGATTCAAAAATTTCCTTGGGAATATTAGTATATAAGATTTTTAAAAAATCTTTCCAAGAGTACTGTTAATCACTTTTTATTCGCGAGAGCTTTATTTTCGCGAAATTACCCAAGACAGTCTGCTCGCTAAAATTTCATTCACGTGTTTATTTTTTTAGTATATATTATTTACAACAATAACAAGAATTCTTGAATATAAGGTGTTGTCAAATTTAGTGATTTACAGTAGTAGGACCACACGAAATCATTCACCCCAGTTGTGCGAATTTTTATTTTCCTTTTCAAATTATTTAACCTGAGGTTAAGGTTGGAGTGAAATCGGAGATCATATTTTACCTATTTTGTACGAGGAAAATCCCTTTAAAAATTTCCCCAGAAAATTCCAAAGGGGGGGGGGGTAGAGAACACAATATAAAAGAGAGTCCTTGACAAGAAAAAAAAATCATCAGACGTTATTATTGAGGGGGAACAAACGAAAACATAAACTTTGTTTGTTACTTCATAGTATTAAAATACATACTGGCAAAATTATTGGGGGGACGCAGACCCTTCCCTCCTGTTTCTACCGACCTGTTGTGAGGATTTTAACTTCTCTCTTCCAAAAAAAAAAAAAAGCATTACTACGATGGATTATATCGTATATTTGGCATTTTAGGTGTATAATTTTTTTTAAAAATTTAGATAAAGCTAGCATTAATCTTTTCTTTTTTTTTTGATGTAATGTTTACATATAAGAAATGTCCCGGAATGATGAACTAAATATTGTTTATACCTATATATATGCATTTTTAACTCTTTAAATATTTGAATATATATTTATCAATCAAATTTGGTTAGTCATGGAAGTTTCGATAAATTGATATATTATAGTTAAAGAATGGGTTCTTTTTAGAAAGTATAAGATTCTACTCCACCCGTCACCGCAGTATTTACATATCTAATTGATGAATGGAACTTCAAAGGTTAAACATGTGCAAGAATTAATATAATATATACCAAAACAAAAAAAAAAACATCACATTGTCTGGTAAATGATATGAAAATGTAATTATAGAGGCAACACTTAGTAAAATGTAATTATAGAGGCAACACTTAGTAAAATGTAATTATAGAGGCAACACTTAGTAAAATGTAATTATAGAGGCAACACTTAGTAAAACTGTAAGTGCCTTCATGTCGTATACACCAGAGATCACCTGTCTGCTCGTGCGATTGTGTATGTACACTATTGTTATCTTGATTGTAACCTTGGATTAATGACTTAATATTTGGTAATGATCAAGGTCAACTAGATGAAGGTGAATTATAATTGAATATCAGACGCAAATAGACTAACATTAGGATATACCGGGTATTTCCCCGAGAGGGAAGGGGGGGGGGGGTTATTGTTGAGGTAATTGATTTTAAGACAATTTCTGCCAAGCTCTTGAATTGATGGTATTATTTTAGACGTAATTTTTGTGTATATTTAGAGTGCAAAAGTTGGGAATTTGCATGCTTCAATTTTATGTACTTGTACCTCGATTTGACCTGAATAATTAATGTGTTTTTAATGCTCTATAATATCCCCATATTTAATATGGTTAGAGAGAATAAAATTTAATGTACTTGAAATTAATTCATTCTGGCAATGTACTTTACTTAAAACAGGGAGTATACTTTTCTATTTTGGTGATGTCTGTCCGTATGCGTTATATTTTTTGAAGCAATAAACCACGCATGAAACAGCTACAATTTGGTTAAAAAAACGTCATCTGGGATAAATCTAATAATTCTTAAGTCTGGAGGTTCTTAGGAACTCCTTAACCGCTGTTGTAATTTAATTGATGTGTTTATCGCTGTCCTGAATATTAAGTATACGTACATTTGTAGCACCTGTCGCCTTATTGTTACACAATGTTTTCTATCCTATATGTATAATTATTCAGCCGGTGTCACCTTAACTCATGACGTTTTCTCTATAATTAAAAAAAAAATTGCGTCACTTTGTCCATATGCATTAACCTATTGGCTATTTGTCATTCGTGTTTAGAGGAGAGGGGGAAATGAGGTTGACATTCAAAATTCTCCATAGTTTTAAAAACAAAGCCCAGGACAGAATAATGTTCAAAAAGATAAATGCAAATGCATCATAAGTATAAACATTATTAGCTCTTCTGATCGAATATGGTAAAATGTCCTCCTATTGTTTATAAACGCTACTCTAAATGGCACACTAGTTAAGTTAAACTACATGTACAGTTCTGTGCATTTTTTTGGTTTGTTTGTTGTTGTTGGTTTTGGTCATAACGTCACGGCTTTAAGTGCCAAAATTAATAAAAATAAAAAGAAGATTAAATTAAATCTTAATTGTAACACACTTTTCTTTGATATTTCAGTTAACATTAAAGTATACCTCATGTAAAATCTCCAAAATTTGCAACAATCCCTCAGGTGTTAAAATTATTCATCTATGAATAGCATGCGCACACCAAAGATGGCAAAAATGATCATTTATTCGTAAAACAACACGTTTTCTATATAAGTGGGTCTTCGCTCCATGTCATTGAAATCGATTGTGATTAAGTTCTTAGCCGTCAAAATTTTAGAACCAAGGTTAGATACATGATTGTTTAGTGCAAGGACTGGGGATGGTCATACATTCTTCAAACGTCGAAACACAAAGGCTGCTCACGAACAGAGGTGATACTCTATCCCTGGATACAGATATAGACAGAATACGACTGAAAGGTCAAATAATACTCTTTGTTTTGTGAGCAATGATGTTATTGATAACGTTTGACCTTTTAATTCTCAATATGTACCCTTAGTCACACGAGAGTCAAAAATCAAATGGTACCTTAGTTATACATTCTGTCCACAAATTTGGTAACAAGGTATCTTAACATGATCTAGAACTTTTGTTCTCCAAGTACACTGCAGACATTGGTACACTCGCCAGTCATTGGTACATGTACATTCACTAGCCATTGGTACACTGCAGACATTGTATTGATACACTGCAGTCATTGGTACACTCGCCAGCCACTGGTACACTCGCCACTGTCCTGCTTGCAGCCACCATTATAAAGTTTGTATTTTAGTTTATTTCACAGTCTTTATCATACTAATCAGCACAAACTAGAATTTACAGCAAAACAAAATTAAATGAGAATATTTTTCAAGCATTGCCAGTCACTAATGTCTATCCTAACAAAAGAATGCTATAATAAACCATAGTAGTTTGGTACTTTGATTTACTACTATAGTGATAAATTCGACACTTTGATTTACAATAATGATAACACCGAAACTTTGATTTGATAATTAAATACTTACCAATATTAAAAAATGTTAGGCTTCAGAAAGTTTCAATATTTTTTAAAGTATTTCATGCATAGAACAGAAAAAATTTCAAGTCGTAAAATAGTCAATAATGAAACTCTTATCAAAGAATAATGATTTACCATAGTGAAAGTTTGACAGTTTGAAATACTATTTAATTGTGAAGACTTTGAAAACTTTGATCCACTTAAGTGAAAACTTTGACACTGAGTTACTACATTGTATAGTGACTGTGACACTATAATGATAACTTTGATTTACCATAGTGGTAACTTTGACACTTCGATTTTACTTCAGTAAACATAACTATAGTTCACAATAGTATTTTCTCGTAGGTATATAGATTTTTTAATTAAAATAAATTTACTTAATTAAGTTTTAAATCAGACAAGGAGGAGACAATCGCTGTATTCCAAGGTTACCTTTCGGAGTGATGGCATTTATGATAAAGTCTTGTTGACAAGAAAAAAAGATTGTGGAATGTCGCCATCATACATACATAAATAACTGTACAGTAACTAGAAGTAACATTACGTGATCCGGAATTATTCGGATGTTTCTGTATATGGTTATCTTATAGTCCTAGGGAGCGAACATTCTCAATAAACAAACAAATAAATATTTCGATGTGGTGGATATTAATTTCTTATCTTCGCAATAAAATGTAATCTTGTTGTCCATCTGAACTCTGAAACTCACGCTGACCAGCGATAACCACGTTGTTTACGTATCAAAAACTAGCTCCCGGCAATATGGCGGCTACGTGGCGGCCAATGGTCGCATTCTCTTTTACAATGACGATTATGTCCGCGGGGAATTTGACAGTCTGGTATTAACCGGGTACAACCGATCCCTTACAGTTTATCAATTAGTTGTTCGAGGTGTTGTCTAGTCCCGTTTTTAAAGCAAAAATTCTTCACGCTCTTAATATTCTAAATATTTAAACAAAAAATTCAAAGAAACCCCCAGAACAGAGAACAATGTGTTACCAAGAGTTTACTGGCGATTGATTCTAATTTTTCTGGATAATACTACCAGTTTATACAATATAAACAAATTGAAGATGTTTAACCAGCACGTGGTACTTTTTCTGTCTGTGTGTCTGTGTGCTGTGTCCGCGGTACCTGTTGGTTTGTTGCCACCTATACAGAATGCTGCTCCAGATCCAGGTAAGAATCTGTTACTCATGTAGGTATATCACACGTGTAAATATACATTATTTTATTTAGCATAATCGTTATCTTGCTTATATCTATCCCGATTTTTTTTTATACTTTAAGTAGGTTATCTTTATTTATTTTGATGTAATGAATTCCAGAAATAGGTTGTACGGAATCAAGCATAAACTGTGAGTCCTACTGATGTTTTACAAATCTAACGAAGAGAAAAAAAAGTGAATAGAATAGAATACATCAATATTCAGACTGTTTCGAATGTCCGCGCAATTCCTAGGGTTTTTTTCGCCTTTTTACCGCGGCAAAGCGTTAAAAGAAAAAAAATGAAGCATTTTAAAATATTTATTAATTGCTAATTACACGTGGACATGTATTTAGTAATAAGGAAATATTTTCTGGACTTTGAGAAAATGTTATCGTATAAAGATCAAAATTGAGTTGATCTTCCATTTTCACCATTATGATTGTGCACCTGTCGTGCATTCTTTCCCTGTAAAAGTGTCAAATATAATGAAGCATTGATAAACAGAAATCAGTTTCTTATTTGATATGAAAACATGGTCAAATAAAATGTTATTAAAACTTAAATTGATTATAAATTGTGTAATAAGACATCGTAAATCTCAGAAAGTTTTAATTTTAAATCAAAGGGCATATCATTCTTATTGAATAAAAATAACATGGAATTGGAACTCTTCAGTGTGCAATGCACAGGGGGTCTTTAAGAGACGTTTCAAGGGTCTGGATATCCATTTTCTTCATCAGTCCAATGTGCATTTGGCGATATGATAATTGAGAGGGGGAAGTCTAAATTTTACGGAACCTCTTTTTCTGTGACAATATAATACAACCAAACCAAATCTTTGTACACAGGATGCATGATGTGGCATTCTTTTATTTTCAATTAATATGCATATTTTGATTCCTAAAATTCCAAATAAAATAAAGTTGTCAATGTTTACAATTGTGCGTATGGGGCTAAATTTACACTCTTGCTGATTGTATTTTCACTTTGTTTTATAAGACTATGACACCTGTCAATTGTTGAATTATTTTGACAATTTGAGGGATTATAGAGCTACTTTCAAAGCACGAGCTACAAGGAAATCAATCATTCGTGATTGATTATCAATTTGAGTTTTTGATATATTTCTAGATTTAAGGGGAATCAAATTAGATAGAATGTCAGGCATAATGGAACATTTTTTTATTATATACATGTACCTTTATGTATGAAGTGGAACCGACTATCTTGTAAATTATGCATTAAATTCGGTCTACATATATATATTACTAGTATAGAAAGGAGAGTGAAATTTTAATCTATTGAACCCCCAGTCTCAAATTAGTTTACTTCGATTTGGAGGAAGTATACAGCCGAGTTCTTCTGCTCCGACGAGTGGAATGTTGACTTCGATAATAAATTGTATTTTTGCTACCTGGGGCTACATACCTTAATCTGCAAATGATGTCATCTGTATATATCCCTCGTTCCAATAATTGCATTATATTATCAGTTTCTATAAATGATTAAAACCCTTGTATGCCGTATAATATTCGAATGGCATGCATTGAGTAAATCTGAAGTAGACACGCAGTGTACACGCTTACTATAAGCTACCATATGTTGATTCTCTTCTACAAAAACGTGACCTATTTGTAACACTATTGTCTCTTACATAAAATAAGTAGAGATAAATTTGTAAAATTGCTCGTCATTTTCAGTCAGTATGATATTAAGAGGGCTGGGTGGTTGTGGCCATTTTCAGACTATATTGATCTCCTTTAGAAGAAGAGCTCCATATAAAGATATACAAAAATGATCAAATTTTAAAACTAAAATGTATGAAATTTTTGTTTGCCAAATGATAGTTAACAGCTTAAGATATCATATCTAAAAAAAAAAAATAAGTTATATCTGATGGTTAATTTGTTGACCCCCCAGCCTCCTTAATTAAGGTTACGATAAGAAGGCTCTAAACACTAATGAAAAATATTTATTGGACTTTGAGAAACTTATAAGACATATACAGTCTTACATTAAATGAGTTAGTTCATTCTTAACATAGACTTCCTACCACATAACTGCATGAAACTATATTGGAATTAGAACTCTTCGGTGTGCAGTTATTCGAATCGCCTTAAATACAATGTACGACGTTATCAGTATCAAGGATATTAAAAGCGATTAATGATGTAATGTACAAATCAAGATTGTTATAATTGATTGCTTAAAGTGAAAGAGACTAACGATGCTGCATTATTTATTACGGATTTTATTATGATGAATTATGCAGTTTCCTGAATTGAATCAATTTTGCTTATATAAGGAAAAAATATGAAAAACCAATTTTGGATAATGCATCGATTGACTTTATCAGACCTGGTGTGCTTATTGAACCAGTGAACGATTAAATAAAGTTATCAAGTACCATATAAGCAGAAAAAAAAGATCACTGATTTATATGTAAGAATATATATCCACCACATGTCATTATTACCTCAAGTACATTGCCGTTGATTTAATTGCCTTGCTACATGTCGAACAAATATCTATTGCTAATTTGGTTTTAAGGCGACATTGCAGTTACTGTAATATTTTCGTGTTATAGGTCGACTGGCAGGAGTTGTCACCAGTACATATCCCGCCAACTTCTACAGATGGCTGCTTCAGCTCTTCACTCAACGATCCTTCGTCACATGGCTGGTTTGTTTTTAGATCAAGTAAATTCTTCCAAAAAAAAAAAGGCATAGATACATGTATATGACCTTGGTTAAGATGCTCAATACATATCTCTAGTATCATTTCAGAATGTTGCTAAAAAGGAAGAGGTGACCACAAAGTTTCAATAATTTAAAGAAAACATAAAATGTCTATAAATTTTATATCTGGTCGGGTGGATTTTTAAGCTTTATAAATTTAAACTTCAATTGTTCGAACGATTTGCCACTGTTTTACTTTATTTCATGTTTCGGTGATATATGTACCAAAATGATGACGGGTGGTCTTATGTTTCAGGGGCGGACACGTGGTTTAAACTTTCAGCCCAGGGCGAGCCCTTTCAGTGGTGAGTGGAGATCAATCTCAGCTGCTTTATCGGGTGTTTATCATTCGATCCTCTCCTTAGCTGTGTTTTATTACTTTGTTTACATCTTCACCTATGACACGGTGCCTAATTTTATGGGTTTCTGTTTACACCAAATTAATGAATAGACCCAAATATTTCCCCCTGCCTAAGTACATGTAATTGATTGTAGCCTGTACTTAGTTTTATTAAGTGTTTTGTTTGACTTGCGGTTTTATTTCTACTCAGGTGGCACCAGCGATCTTTCCACAGGAGGTACCAGAGACCCTGTCCTGACAGCAAGACTTGAAGAAGGCGACCCTCGAGTGTCCAAACTGAAGGTCGTCCGTGATTACTTACCTCCCGCGTCTCTGCCCAAGACCATCACCGCCCCGAAACCAACCGTCCAGAGAGACTTCCAGGCAAATGACATCATAATCCCCCAGACCGCCGAACCTAAGAAAGGGCCAGGCATCATCCAGATCCCTGTTTTGTCACTGAAAGGATCCGGGGGACTTGTTGACGATTCCCCCACTCCCTCCCCGGCGACCTTACCGGGAGACTTAGTGATCATTAGAGACCATCTGAAGAAAGACACCACTGTGGAGCCAAGCTCTGCCACAGCTAAGCCGTTTCATTCCAGGTTGTCCGAGTCCAAACCAGCGACAGAGGAAGCCATTAGTAGGGAGCAAACAGTAACACGTACAGGCGTTCAAAAAACAACTTCCAGCAATCTCGAAGACTTTAAGGTGGAGCGTGACCAGGAATTACTCAGTCTGAGCCAAGAAAAATCTACCGTTCAAGTCACCATTCCCCTTACGGAAAAGCATAGCGTTTCAGTGGATAATGAAGACCTCCGTGAACTTTCTGTTCAAAGAGATCGTAAAGGGAGTTATCACTCCAACACCCTCCCTCCAGACCTTGTGATTATTCGGGACAGTGTAGCAGACGAGGAGAGCGGCCATTTTGTCACTACTCGGGGAGTAACCGAGCCCGGGGTGGCATTCTCAACACAACCGGTTGGAAGTGGCATCATAATATTGTTGCCAAGCGGCGGGAAAAAATAAGCATGAAACACTTCCCAACGCAGATGCTTGCAATTACAATTGCAAAACGAAGCAGCTTAATGACCTTGGTCTATATAGGCGTTTGGTGGAAAACAGTAAAACATTGGCCGCTAATGAGATATGCGTAATTATAAGGTGTTCATTGAACATAGATGTACATACAGAATATGGATGTTTTCCTGGACAATTGTGTATTATGTAAAATGAATGCATTTTACATTTGTATCTTAATTTTTTACTTCAGTGCACCTCATTACAGTTTGTTACATTTTTAAATATATGTCTCAATTATATGGTTATTTTTTTATATCGTCAATTTCTTTAAAATGTTTACTGATCGCTGTGAGGAGCATTGTGAGACAGAAAGAAATTCTTTACATGCACTATCATGTTTTTACGGGGACATCACTTTCCTGTCAGGCGCGAAGCGTTGGAGGGGGTATGTACATTGAAAGGCCGGTTGCCCCCCCCTTTTTGTTGCGGTTTAGTTAAGTAAGGGTACTGTAGAAGTATATGAAAAAAATGGTACTGAAAGAAGATGGAACCTACCCCCCTCCCCCCTTTTTTGCTTGTCAAGTTTTTTTTAGATAAGTTGAAATTTTGTTCTCTGACTGCCCCCCATTTCGTCCCTGCCTGTTGCATATTTTATGTTGTCTTCTTATTTTAAGTGCCAAATTAAAATCGTATTTATTTCACATTTTTCTATACTCATTTTTGTCTACGTGAATTTAAATAAACTGAATTGTACAATGTATGTATAGTGCTCTTTATGCTTTGGTTTCTTTGTATGGGGTATTAAAGAGATAATCTTTTATTAAATTTTATTTTTAACAATGAATATTAAATAATTAGTTCTGTTTAGATTTTTGTCCAATATTTTTTTGTTTCATTTTGCTTTTGTTTGTTTTTTTTTGTGTGGATGTGTTTTTGTTTTGTTGTTCTTGTTTTATTCTCAATGAAAAAGGTGACGATAACAAAACAGTGATCGATTTCAGAAAATCTACAAACAATATAAATTTGTGATTAGGGTATAAAACACGGAACCCGGAAATTCCAGAGGTGGGATCAGGTGCCTAGGAGGAGTAAGCATCCCCTATTGACCGGTCACACCCGCTGTGAGCCCTATGTATTGATCAGGGAGATGGAACATGCATGCCGTAGTCAAATTTAGTATTAAAATAAAGGCCTAACAATGAGTATGAAACATGTCAGCCAAAATACGACCCAATGATAGGTTATATTTGTTAGCAAGGTCATTATTGTGACCATAGAATTGACGAAATACTGACTTTAAACGAGGTTGTTTAAATCCCTGTAATATCTACTTATCTGTCAGTAGCCTGTCTCGGTTTAAAAATTTATCGTACTCAGAGTCCTGTTTTGGAGTATCGAATAAATTGGGAGACGTAAACACCATATGTAGGTGATAGTGGAATATTTAAGAAATGAATTTAATTTTTGAAGATTCATGAGGACATGAAATCACGACGCTTCACGCCGGCATATTTCATAATACCGTACTTGACATCAAAACAAAAATGCAAACTGTTTTGCTTTTAAGGAGGGATTCTTGTCTGGTTTCTGACTAGATGAAATATTCAAAGTATATTTGCTTATACGTCTTGTATATTTAGATGTAAGGGATTTAAAGGATCATATTTTTCTTTGCTCAACATAATTGTACTACTTTAAATAAAAATGGTAAACTGAGTTTGAAATCTAGCAGGGATTATATCTTTGGCGGAACGGCAGCGTATGAAAATATCTCATTTTCTGCTTCTGAAAATTACTGTTGAACAATGAATTTAGTTAAAATTTTTAAACAATCAAAGACTTAAAGAAAATTTCAAATCTAATTAAAATTAATAATAATGGACTGAAATTTTGAAATATATCAAATAAATATGATTTCCCAAACAAACTACAATTTTGTTAACTTTTAAAAGTTTCCAATCTAAGTACAGATTTGAGCAAAAAATCCGTAAAAAGTGTTTTTTTCTCTCTTAGTAAATGGTCAAAACTTTTTGTTTTTGTATCAATTTGTATCTTTATATGACTACTTTACCATATGTGAAAATAAGAAAAATTTAAATATACAAAGGCATATGAAAATAACTAATATATCCTAAAAATCTAAGAAAATTAGAGGAAATTCGGATTAGCCAATATCTATTTTAGTTAAATTATTTATGTCAATTTGGTTGTATCATCTGATAGACCCTATATGGTAATATCTTTTTATGCAGAAAGAAAAACGTTGAATCTTTTGTAATGGAAGTAGGCATTGCATGATTGGCAACAGTAATTTTTTATTCTTACGGTCAAGGAAAAAGATAATGATCTTGACCTGATCTTGCTTTTAAAATAAAACGGTCAAATTTAATCTAATTGATATCATCACTTAATGATAATGTCTTCTTGAATCTATGAAAATTTCATTAATTTTTAAATACTAGAAATATGAGAAGAATTCCTCCTTAAAAATGACAGTTGAATGGCGTGATTTGTGGCAACTCAGCAGAAAAATAATGTAAAAAAAAATTAATTTACTATTTATTTTACTAATTTCAGTAATTTTTGCTTTTGCTATTCATTTTACTAATTTTAGTAATTTTTGCTTTTAAAAATGACAGTTGAATGGCGTGATTTGTGGCAACTCAGCAGAAAAATAAATGTAAATATAAGTAATTAATTTACTATTTATTTTACTAATTTTAGTAATTTTTGCTTTTACTATTCATTTTACTAAATTTTAGTAATTCTTGCTTTTAAAAATGACAGTTGAATGGCGTGATTTGTGGCAACTCAGCAGAAAAATAATGTAAATATAAGAAATTAATTTACTATTTATTTTACTAATTTTTGAAGATTCATGAGGACAGGAACTACATCGCTTCATGCCGGCATATTAAACATGAAGCGCTGACGCGCTTCATGAAATATGCCGGCGTGAAGCGTCGTGGTTCATGTCCTCATGAATCTTCAAAAATTAAATTCATTTCTTAAATAAATAAGTAAATTGACGATGGAAAAGCCGAAGTCATCTCGTTTGTCATATAATTTAGTTGTAAGTTGAATCTTATCGTCTATAGTCAGTAAAACGTCCAAATATGAAACAAATGTGGCAGACTCTGTTGCGTTTCGAATCGACATGTGAATGGAAGTAACTATTGTTATTTGATAAAACGTCGTCAATATATTTGAATGTCGAGTTGAAGGCCACAGCAAGTGATTTCTTCTTCTCATGTTAAAGTTTTTGAATAAATTCTGCTTTATAAGAATATAAAACAGGTCGGGTAATAAAGGGGCACAAAAAGAATCCACATTTGATTTACACCACTTATAGAAATATGTTGTAGCACAGTACGTCAGAAGTTTCACTTTTAAGACAGTTAATATTTTTGTAAGGAGTAAAGATAGGGAATTGGTAGAGCATTTGCTAGACCCTGCAATGTATCTTTGTCAGGATTTTTATGAAGTTCAGGAATCCAGTATAGGTAGGGTAGATCGAACTCACCTTGGCAACTTCTAGGGCCATTCCGGCAAGCGGAAAAACAACCTCGAGGCGTTTTTCCGAGCTTGCTGGAAAGGCCCGAGAAAATGCGACTGCTCATTTTTGTTGACTGGAATGTTAAAAGTATTAAACATTGAACTGTGATTTTGAAGAATTTCATCGTTAGAAAGTGAACTGCGAGTAGAAGTTGGATTCCCAGACATAGAATTAAAACCAAGTTCTTCTAAAATAGTTATTAATGGTGTGGTTTGCGATACCTTAGAAAATTAAATAAATAGCAGTTTGGTGGGAACACACTTTAATTCGGGTTTTGTTTTAGAAAGTCTGAGTTTTTATATTTATATATCCATCAGGATACTTATTTTTTGACAAAGCAAACAGGTATCAGGTGTTGTAAATTGTGGATTAATTAAGTGGAGGTAAATGCAAAATTTACATCATGATAAATGGATATGGTTTGATTTTATGCAAAAAAAGACGTCTTCAATTTCATCAGTTTTTATCAGCTCGCCTGAGCTGAATTTTCAGGTAGGCTTTACTGAACACAGGTTTGTCTGTCGTCCGTCTGTCTGTAAACTTTTAACATTTTCGACTACTTGACCATTTTCATTCAAATTTGCTACAAGAGCATTCTTGGGTAGAGAGAATCCAAGTTTATTCAAATGAAGAGTCACGCCCTATTTCTAGGAAAGATGGTTAAGATTTAGTGATTTATTGAGAAATTGGTGGCATGTATACTTTTATTTTTTTTCTCAAGAACTACTGGACCAGAAAAGAAATTATATGAAAGTTTCCTCTCATAGTGTACAATCCAGATTGTTCAAATAATGGCCCTGGGTTAGTGTGGAACCACAGTATACTTTAGAGATAAATGTCTAACATAGAAATATATCTGGGAAAATCTTTTAAAATCTCCTGAAAAGATTATTAGTCATATAAATATGTTAGCATCCTCATGTAGATTCAAGTTGAACTACAGTAGGAATACTTGTATAAGAATATGGGGGGGAGACCTTCTGCTGGGCAGCAGGCTTGTATGATTAGTCATCTTTAAAGGTCTGATGAATAATTATTAGTCAAGTAAATATGCAAGCACTCTCACGTACTTAAGATTCAAGTTCTTTCAAATTAGGATCATTATAGTCAGTTACATTTTGAACTTGATTTAAATGATTTTCAAAAAAACAAAAACAAAAGACCAAAAAATAAAAAACAAAACAAAAAAGAAAAACAATAAAAAAAAACTCACTCAGTGTTACATTAGATTTTAAGTTGGATTTTCGTTTAAATTTTGAAAAAAAAAATGCTTAAGGTTATTCTTCTTTAGAATCTCTAACCTTTGACCTTCATGTAATTAATATTGTCCTTTACATTTAGCTTCAGAAAGTTTATATTCACGCTTTTTATAAACCATTTCCCTATGATTGACATCGCTTTTGCAAAAATTAAATTTACGCAATGCTGTAATTGTTGGATACAAAAATTG